CCTTCCTTCCTTCCTTTCTTCCTTCCTCTCTCCTCACCCGAGGATGTTTTTTCATTAATTTCTGGACAAAGGAGAAGGGAGAAAGGGAGGGAGGAAGAGAGGGGAAGAGAGAAAGAGAGAGAAACATCAATGTGAGGGAGACACATTGACTGGTTGCCTCCAGCACAACCCCAACCAGGGCCGGTGATCGAATCTGCAACCCAGGTACAAGCCATTGACTGGGAATCAAATCTGCAAACCTTTAGTCCACAGGCCAACGCTTAAACTGTTGAGCCAAACTGACCAGGGCACAAGGTGATACATTTACATATCTATTTCATTGATAATCATTTTGCAGTTTTATATTGCAACATCTCTCCATGTCAATGACCCAGATCATTAACCTACCAACTGTAAATTTTTAATAAAAGATGCCCAGTAACAATAATAGGACAATATTTTAGTTGACTTTAATAGGCCATCATTTGAAATATTCCATCTAATGCTATAGCCAGGTTATTTACTCATGAGTGACTCAAAAAGAAATTCTTCATTTTGTGTAGAAATCTACCAAAAAAGTAAATGTTTCAATGGGATAAAGCAAGATAATAACTTGCTGGTAATCACACTCATACACACTTATACACATTGCTTCTTTGTCTCTGGAACAAACATCCAGATTTCAAACAATTTCCTATACATATTAAAATACATTTGCCGTCCTGTTTTGATGACATTTAGCACAAACAGGTGATGTTTGAGACTCAGTTTCTCCCTCTAAACACAGATTCCTTGGGTTATCTAACGTGCTTGCTCTAATCATAAAGTTGAATTATAGAGTACCACATGACCTCACTTATTTGTGGAATACAATAAAATAAGCAGACAAACAAAATAGATCCAGAGACATGGAAGTAGGGACCAGACCGACAAACCTCTGAGGGAAGGGGATTGGGGTGGCAGGAAGAGATAAACCGAAGAACTTAGGTGCATATGTGCATCATCAATGGACACAGACAACAGTGTGTGCACTGAAGGGGGCTGGGGAGCAGGGAGGAGGGTGTCAATGGGGGAAAAATGAGGGACATCTGTAATAAAGATAAACTTTAAAAAAAAGTCTATGTCGGAAGGACAGAGGTATTTGTTTTTTTTAAAAAAATGAAAGAGCAATTCACAGTTCAAAGTGGTAGTACTCTCACATTCAAGCATGACAAGATTGGGTAAATATTCACCAATTCTATTTTCTTCTTTTTTATTTTTTTCAGAACAAAAGGACAAAACCCAGTGTTTCTTATAGTAGTTGGGTTAGACACAGATGACCAGGTTTGGCTACTGACGTGTAGAGGGAAGCAATACATCACTTTCAGGCTTATGTCATAAAATCCAGAGCACGACCATCCATGAAGGCTCCGCGGAGACCATGTGTCAAAGACGGCAGCATCACAGGACGAAGAGAACTTCACGGCCTTGGACAGCGGTGTGAGAAACAAACCTTATCAGGTCAGCCCCTGAGACCCCAGGGCCTGTTTCTGGGTGCACCCTGACTCAGCCCAACCTGACCAGCTGAGACGTGGTACTGGCAGTGGAGACGCCTGTCCTAAGACTGTTCAGACGCGGGAGCGCACCAGGCCTCCAAGCAGCTGGCCTCACGGGCTGGGATGGGGCGATCGGAGTGGGGCGATCGGAGTCGTGAAATGGGAAAACAGTTCGGAACGTTGTTGTCGGCGAGAACTCCATAGACAGACCACAGCCCTATGGCAGAAGTCGAGGGAGGCAGAAAGCACACCCAATGTGCACAGACCGGGCTGCTAGAAGCTGCACTTGACGAGACAGCGCGTGGAAGATAAACTCAGGGAGAACTGGCCTGTCTGGAGCACTCTAAAATACTGTTTATCTCAGCATCATACGTCATGGAAATCACAGCATTTCCAAATCTCCACAGGGCCTTTATATATTTGACAATAAAGATTAACCCTGCCTACCTTAAATCAAATAGCCAACATGATCAACTGCTCTATTTTTAAGCCAGGACTATTCATACTGGGTGGTGGAGGGGTCAAGGCAGGGGGTGGAGAGAAAGGAATTAATATTATCCCAGGCCTTCAGAAAATCCTTTCTGAGTAAGTGGGTTAGAGACTGTTTATGCACTAGCTAATAATACAGTCTTTTTTTCTAACAGTGTGCTGGTCTCTCCTAAATTTCAAAGGAATACTTTTGAAAGGTTAGTGACTGCTCATATCCAGGAAAAAAATAAAAAAAGACCATTACTGCCCTGGCCGGTTTGGCTCAGCAGTTAGAGCGTCGGCCTGCAGTCCAGAGAGACCCTGGTTCGGTTCCCGCTAAGGGCACGTACCTTGGTTGCAGTTTGTCCCTGGCTCCAGTTGGGGTCGTGTAGGTGGCAGCCACTCGATGTGTCCCTTTCACGTCAATGTCTCTCTCTCTATCTCCCTCTCTCTCTCTCTTTCTCTCTCTCTCTCTCTCCCCCTCCCTCCCTTCCTCCCACTGTATCTGAACAAAAATAGAAAAATGTCCTCGGGTGAGGATAAAAAAATTAAATTTAATTTAAAAAGACCATTACCTTACCACTTTCTTCTTAGGGCAGCAAGAATATAAATTCAAACTCCCTTGAACGACTAACTGAAGATGTGGGGTGGAGGGAGCGGGAGAGAATGATCTGGTATTCATTTTAGCGAACCGAACTTAATTTTCTACTTTGGGAGGCTCCGTACAATAGTCATTGTTTAACATCATTCCATTTAGGCCTCAAAAATCTCCATAAAAGAAACCTGATGGGGAACTTGAGGGCCCCACATTATGCCAAAGTTCTGAAAAGAGGCAGCTTGGGCTTGGTGACCAGTAAGGTTTCCTTCCTGTCCAAGGAGGAATAGTTTGGGTCACCACCTGGACCACATGAGAAGCAATGTGAACCCAATCACGGCGGAACCAGACAAGCCGGGTAGTGTCACCGGCGATGCTGAGCCTTGGGCCAGTCCTCAGGAGACCACCACGGCAGAGACAAACTTCCTGAGTTAACAAGGTAGGAGCCCTGCTGAAATAGGAATCAGGAGGTATCGGCCCGAATGTGAATTCTTCCACTGGGCAGATTCGAGACAAGTCACGCCTGCGCGGTGGACTTCAGTCTCTTCTGTGAAGTGGAGAAGGTGGACTTAGTTATGAATTCTCAATTCAAAGTACCTACGAGGCCCTAGCAGGTGGTCTCATGGAGAGCGCCACACCGAGTGGGGACCGGCGAGGTGAAGAATGGCAGCTTTGCCAAGTTTCTAATGTTTTCAAGAGATGCTAGAAACCAGAGGTTTTTATGGAAAGTCTTTCCATTTATAAATGTCTAAAACTAATTCAATTTTTTAAGCACACCATTGCCCAAACAAAAAAAATATCTGTTTGCCTGGTGCAATCTGGGGACCACACTGGTCCCCCAAGCAGTCATTAGATAGCTCTCTCTGAACTGAAAAATGTCTAAGTCCCCTCTCCTCTTTGAAGATAAATGTACACTAATTGCCTGATCCGTGACATTTTGTTTCCTCTATCTATAATGTGATTTCTTTCTTTTCTCTCATTTTTCAGAATGTTTGGGAATAAACCCCCATACAACCTGCTTGGACCCTGAAGTTTCGGCTTCCTCCCCAACTCCACTGAGGCCGTGTTGCCCCTATTCTCCCTGATCTCCTGACCACAGATTCAAAAGGAAGTCGCCTTGTCTTCATTCTTCACCAGTTTGTAACAATGCAAACTATTAACACCTCTTCTTGAAAGCCAGCCTCTTCTGGCTTTTCACATGTTTCTAATAACCCCACCCCAGATTTTTCTGCTGTCTCCTCTTTTCTGTATACTTCCTAAATGTGGGTGTTCCCAGACACTCGGTCCCCAGCCCTCTATTATTCTCTTTAAGGTCTGATCCTAAGGGCTCATCTGTAACTTCTGCTTCAACGTTACCAGACTCGTTCACTCGCACAGACAGACACCCCTCTCCTGAGGAGCACCAACTCTGCCCTTCCGCCGGCCGCTGGAACATCTCTGCTTGCACTCTGCTACACAGTCCTTACGTGTGACATGTTTCAAAGTATTATTTTCTCCAAAACTTCTCCCTGAAGTCCCTCTTGCTACTAAAGATCTCCCACGGTCCCTCCAGCTACCCGCAGTAGAAATCTTGGTTCTCTCTGGCTGCCTGGCCACCTCTGCACTTAATCATCTGCTCCCGACGTGGGGAACACTCACCTCCACGTTTCTGAGGAGGCTCCCACTCTGACCACGCACGGTCAGATTCACCACTGGGGTCCTTTGCCTCCCATCTGTGTTCGGCACGGCCACCACGTTAGCCCTTGCCTCACATCAGAGGTTCATCTCCGTCGCCCCGTGGAAACCCCGACTTCCTGCAGCTGCTGTTTGAAGTCTACTGTTTGGCCTTCAGACAGCTTTCCTTCCTCTCAATGCTGAACCCTCCTGTTCCAGCCAAACCAGTCTCATCACGGTTCCCCAAAGACTGCATTTTGTTTGTGTTTAAAATGTCCCACCTGTTGTTTCTACCTGTTCAAATCCTACTTATTCTTCAAGGTGCAGCTCAGCTTGCATCTTCAAAGAGCTTTCTGACTTACCAAGGTCAAAGTGGCCTCTTCCTCAAGACAGCCTTGCCTCTGCGAAGCTCTTTGCATGGATGAGTGTGGGCTTTTCACGCTCCTCCTCTCCCCGCCCTCCCCAAGAAACAAACTGTTGGCTGGCATTTTTACTGTTATCGCTTTGAATTTTAGATCAATTTAGCTTACTCACTCTTCTGTATTTTTCTTTTTCTTTTTTTGGTCTGACGAGGCTTCATTCCACATGCCTTAGGTTAAATTCGCTATTTTTTCTAGTTTCCAAAAGTGGAGATTTTGAATATTGATGCAAAACTTTTTGTTTTTAATATAAGAATGTAATGCTATAAACTTCCTTTCATTCATTTCCTTTTATCATTTTACGTACTTATGTACTTCCCCAGTTTTTTGTTTGTTTGTTTGTTTGTTTGTTTAAATATGGAACGTTTCACAAAGGTGCATGTCCTCCCTGTGCAGGGGCCACGCTAATCTTCTCTGCATCGCTCCAGCTTTAGTATCTGCACTGCCACAGCGAGCACCATGCTCAGGTTTTCATGCCACGTTTTCTTATTCATTCTACGCCAGGTATGTTCTAATCTCTCTTGTGACATTCTCTTCGACCCATAACGTATTTAGAGGTATAGGCATACCTCATCTTGTTGGGCATCATTTTATTGTACTTCGCGGAGATTGCTTTTCCTTCCCCCCCCCAAATTGAAGGTTTGTGGAAACCCCAGGTTAAGCAAGTCTATCAGGGTTGCTTTTCCAACAGCATTTGCTCACTTCATGTCTCTGAGTTACATTTTGGTAATTCTCACAATATTTCAAACTTTCTCGTTATTATTCTGTTTGTTAATGGTGATCAGTGATCTTTGATGTCACCGTTGTAATTGGTGTCTTATTTTAAGACACTGCCACCGCCACCGCATTCTTGAGGGACCACCTCCTTGGTCTGTCAGCAGCCATCAATGTCAATGGAAGACCCTCCATCAGCCAAAAGGTTACAACTCACTGGAGGCCGAGATGATGGTTAACATTTTTTAGAAATAAAGCATTTTTAAGTAAGGTATATACCATTCATTGTTTTCTTTAGACTTAATGTTATTGCACGCTTAATAAGCTAGAGCACCGTGTAAACATAACTTTAAATACACCGGGAAATACAAAAATGCATGCGACGCATTTTATTGTGATATTTGTGTTACTGTAGTCATCTGCAACCAAACCCACAGTATCTCCAAGGTACGCCCGTGTGTCGATTAATCACATACTTTGTAATTGTCCACATTTCTTTCTGTTACCGATTTCTAGCTTAGTTTTTGGGTGGCCAGAGAATGTACTCTCTGTCAGATTTCAATTCTTTAAAAACTTGTTGAGATTTGTTTTATGGCCCAGAAAATGGTCTACTCTGATGAATGTTATATGTCAATTAGGGCAAGTGGTGAATAGTGTTGCTTACATCTTCTACATTCTTAGCTGTTTTCTCTCTACTTGTATCACTGATTACTAAGAGAAGGGTGTTGTCATCTCCAACTATAAGAATGGATTTTCATATTTCTATCAGTTTTGCTTCATATATTTTGAAGTCCGATATGCTTCAAATACACACGTAAAATTGTCTTCTTTGTTAATGGCCATCTTTATCAATATATAATGTCCCTCCTAATCCTGGATAATATTTCTTGATGAAGTCTATTTTGTCTGAATTTAACGTGGTCCCTTCACTTTATTCTGATTTATGTTTGCTTGGTATATATTTTTTCCATCCTTTTAACAAATCTACATCTTCATATGAAAGTAGTTCATATATATACATAATATATAGTTGGGTCTCATTATCTAACCTAACAATAATATATAGTTGGGTCTCATTATCTAACCTAACAATCTCTGCCTTTTAATCAGCATAATTAGAGAATTAATTTTAACGTAATTATTGATATGATGGGTTTAAATCTACCACATTTTTAGTTGTTTCCTATTTCCCAAATGTCCTTTTTTTTTGTCTTTCCTAAAGCCATTTAAATTGTATACTTTTTATTATTTAATTTTTTTCTCCAAAGTTGGCTGATTAGTTATACGACTTCTTGAAAGTTTTAATGGTTGCCCTAAAATTGACATTATACATTTTAAATTTTCAGTCTGTTTTAAAATAACATTGTTACTTTATATACTGTATAAGAACCTTATATCAATATATTTTCAGTACCTATCTTCTAAAATAAAAAAAAATTGTTTTCTTGCATATACATATATACATTATAAACTCTACAATATACTTTCAATTATTTTGCTTAAACTGTCAATTGTCCTGCAGAGTGATTAGAAGTAAATAATGTTATATTTACCTTTATTTTTAAACATTATTGGTACTATTAATGTTTGTTAAATCTAAACTCTTACCTGGTATCATACTCTTTCTATATGAAGAAATTTCTTTCATATTTCTTATAGGGAGGCTCTACTGGAAATAAATTCTTCCATCTTTTTGTTAAAAATTTTTGGATAACTTTCATTTTTTTTTTTTAAGATATTTTCACTGAGCATCAAAATCTGAGTTGAGCCCTGGCCAGTTTGGCTCAGCGGTTGAGTGTCGGCCTGTGGACCAGAGAGTGCCGGGTTCGGTTCCTGCTACGGGCACGTAACACACACACAAAAAATGAGTTGATACATTTTTTCTCTAAATAATTTAAAAATAACACTCTGTGTCTTTGGCTTTCATAGTTTCTAACAAGAAGCCTACTATAATGTGTTTTTGTTTATTTGACTAAAATATCTTTTTCTGCCCCGGCTGGTTTTGCTCACTGGTTAGAGCGGTGGCCCACGGACCAGAGAGATCCGGGTTCGGTTCCCACTAAGGGCACATACGACGGTTGTAGTTTGTGCCTGACCCCGGTTGGGGTTGTGTGGGTGGCAGCCAGTCGATGTGTCTCACATCAATGTCTCTCTCTCTCTCTTCCTCCCTCTCTCCACTCCTTCTGAAGATAAATGCAAAAATGTTCTCAAGTGAGGATAAAAAAAAATAATAATAATAATAAATAAAAAATCTTTTTCTCTGACTGTTGTGATTATCTCTTTATCTTTGATTACAATGATGATTTAAATTCTATTTTGGTTTTTTTTGTTTTGTTTTAAAAAAAAAAAAAAAAAACATTTATCCTGCTTGCAGTTACATGAGCTTCTTGGATTTGTGATTTGATATCTTCTGTTTTGGGAGAGTTCTCAACCTTTCATCCCTTCAAATGCTTTTGACTCATTCTCCTTATTCTTTTCTAGGATTCTAATGACATATATATTAGCCCATTTAATATTGTCCCACAATTCTTGGATGTTACCTTTTTGCTTATTTTAAACACTTTTTCGACTTTGTGCTTCAGTTTGGATAATTTCTATAATTTTTTTGACTTATCTTCAAGTTCACTCATTCTTGCCTCAGTTCTATCAAACCTACTGATGGATTTGTCAAAAGAATTCTTCCATTCTAACACCCATTTTTAAAATTTCTATTTAAAAATAGCATATTCTTATAGTTTACCATAGCCTATTGCTAATACGTAGGCATAGTCAAAAGGAACAATAGAGCAATAGAAACATGAAGTCACAAGAGACAGGAAAAAAAATCATTATGCTGAGTGAAATAAGCCACTGAAATATATGTACACACATATACATAGACACAGACAACAGTGTGGTGATAGCCAGCATTAGAAAGGAGAGTGGGGGTAGGTGCAGTTGGGCAAAAGGGGGGGAATGGGGATAGAAGATGGAAAGAAACTTTCCTTGGGGAGATGGGAGCAAAGAGATGTGCAGATGATGTTTTATTGAGTTGTACACCTGAAACCTGTATGGTTTTGCAAACCAATGTCATCCCAATAAATTGAATCAAAAAATAAATTAAAGAAATGGCAAATCTACCAATCCTAACAATTCTGGTCAGAGCACATTAAAATTAGTGGTTGACATGAATAAACTACTTAAGGAGTGAGAAATAGATGCCAAGGCATAAAACACAATGTAAAAGTATCAAATTAATGTTACTCCACTGAGTCACAAATGATAACTTCACTTTAAAACAGGGATAGTAATTGGTAAATCTGTGACAGTACAAATACCCATAGGGGATTATAAGAAGTTAAATGAAATAAATCCAGGATTTATTTAGAACACTAAATAAATACAAAAAATCCTTAGACTTTAAAGGCAGCGTACATTTCAAGAGTGACTAGAATTTGGAAACCTTTGAAAAAGCTGGAATTTTTAAAAAATCATCTAACTGAAGAATGTTCTGCTAAGACACACCACAAAGGAAACAGGAGATTTGTACTTTTATGATCCAGCCAAATTACGGGTGCTATTCTCCAGCATTCAACAAATTAATTCCCAGAGGGGCTACACAAAAGCATACACTATATGAACCAGAAACAGTGTTTTAACCTTAGTTACAAACAAATCTGTCCTGAAATGACTTTTTATGTCTCTTCATTTGCCATAATTAGAAAGATAAAAGAGCCCAGCTGTGTTTTGGAATAGATCTCAGATATATTAATTCCTTTAATATTTTGTCATTAGTTCTAAGTTTAGACCATCTGTTATAAAAATCACAAATTTTAAAAAATGAATTGAAATATGAGTTCTCTTTTGTTTATAATTTTCCCTCTAGGTCTAGGACAATATCTATAATGCAAAGTTCTCAGAAGCAAAAATCTTTATTAAGATGTAGCCAGTAGAAGCCAAAATAGAAGGTTTTACTAAATTTCTATCAGGTGTAAAGTTTTCATGCCCTCTGCACAAAACGCAAAGGTCCAGGAACCCTCCTGACCATGACTTTCTGTCAAACAAACAGTCACCTCTCTCATTATGGCTCCTCTAGATATTCAGAAGAGAGCCAATAGCATTTTCCTGGAGTATATTTGATCACACTATTATATTTGCAAACATAGTGGGGTTGAGCTGAAGTCAAAGGCTGGATGGTAGACCAGAAGCCTGATTGAAACCAGTATAATACTCTTTCATTTAATACGTTATTGAGTACCAACTCTCTGCCAGGCACTCTGCTTGACGCTTGGGCACTCTGCTTGATGTTTGGAATACATCAGCAAAACCAAGATGCCTACATTTGATAGTGCCTACATTTTATGATAGGAAAGTACCCCAGAAGGGCCATAATCAACCACACAGTGAAATGGGTTCATAATAATAATAATAATAAGCAATGTATAAGGTACCTATTATGCAATGAATACTCTTCCTTTTAGAGCTTTATATGTATCAATGGTGGGGTATAATCAATTACTATCCCAAAGGCACTTTGCAGAATGTCTGCACATAGAATTTAGCCCTATAGCAATATCAGCCTGGACCTACACAACTCAGTCATGATAATCAGCAATGGAGCATCGAAGAACCAAAGAGGTGAGAGCCACCTTTAGCTTTAAAACATAAGATAAAATACCCAAGTTTTACCTTTTCCTCACTCAGCATGTGGATTTTCCTCTAATTCCATTGCAACAATAAAAATAAAAAATAAAATAAAAATAAC